GTGGTACTAGGCTAGTGGCAGCTACTGCCATTTGAATTACCTTTTCTGCTTGCCCTTTCTGTGCACCGTGGTAGAAGTCGGTCTTTCTTCTCAAGAATGAGAAAAATGTGTTGATCATCTGGTGAGAGCAAGGACAGCCATAGTATCTGCATTTGTCAATTAATTAACAAACGATAAGATCTGAACTTGTCAGCAAAATTTATCCCGTGCGTGAAGTTGTTCAGTGTACATTTACCGTCTTACTGTGCAGTTGAAATGACCTCATTCTTCACACAATCAACCGAGGAATAGGACAATACATTTGTGCATCATTTGCCCTAAACAGTGCATTCTAACAAAGCTTTTGTAAGTTTCTTCATGCACTGTTGGAACTTTTTTAGTTTTGGCTTCAGAATTTTTTTCTAGACCTGGTGTTGATGCAGAGAATAGGAAGACAGTCTCGTGCCTTCGTACTTCATATCTTACGAATTTACTTTTGCTTATCCTGAGCAGAAATTAGTTTGTTGCTTTATCAACATTCACACCGCAGCATGTAATTGGATGACATACAAGCCACGCATTTTATGCATGAACCTATGGGCAAGTGAACCAGTCCAACATAAAGTAAAATCTTTGTCTCCACAATCTCAAGTATTGCTTCATTATGTCACAGCTACATGAATGAACGGCCCCAAGCTGACCCACAAAATGAAAAACACTACAAAATCATTAAGACACAAGACCACTGGTCACTCTTAACTAACATTGTCAATCATGTGCGAGCAGTGGTGAGCACGTAGGGCCACTGTTCAAACGTCACCGGATGTGGAGCACTCATGGGAAGACTGTCTATAGACATGCATAAATGAGCGAGGGCACTGTTTATTTGGGAACTCATTTTCTTAAATTGGAAATTTTGACTAAAATTTGTTTTTTTCTGCAGGTTCTAGCTCCTCTATTTAATTTCCAATTTCAAAATGTTTGCTATTTCAAGCGAAGTCAATGTTTAATTCAATGAAATAAGGCACGAATAAGAACAAATATTTTATGGCAATGTGAATTTAGGACATGTAAAGCTTTTCAGTCAAAATCCGCACTCGTTTGTGAAAACAAAATCACAATTTGCTCTGCATTACACACATCCAAAAAAATCTCAAAAGATCTCAAAATATCCCTAAATCAGTATTTCTTTGCTTTGCAGAGTCCGATGGAATTCAAATTTATATCAAAATGTTTCTTATGACATCCTCTCCAAGATCACTTCAAAAAGAAAACAGTTGAAAAATTTATGAGTCAGACTGTCAGATTGTGGCCCTGCTAATTACTAGATGGTGGACAGTGAACATGGTCCTGATGGTAAGGGATGCAGCATGACGAACAAATGACACCAATGACATATTTTAATGGGCATGTCAAACCATGCAACATGCATGTCATGTCATGAATGTGCAGCTGCAGGCTGTCATGGCCAGATGGCTGTGACATTCTTGAGGTCGGGATGACATCACTGATTATTCTTCTCTCTGATTGATCAATTGTTGGCTATTCCATCTTTCACACTCAAAACTCAAAGGGGCAAAAACAGCGCAGCGGTCTATCTCAGAGGGCCTCTCTGCTTGTGGGGAAATCTGACAACTCTTTAACCTTTAGGCTTTAGTCTTTAGGGCTACATCAAATGTGCCTGAAATTTCACTATTTATGCGCTAGGCCTATAAACATTTCTCACAATGTACTGAAAAGAATTTAGTTATTTCTGTCACGTTGCTGCCAAAAAAAGAAGAAAACATGCAAATCCCTGAACAACATGAATGGAGAGTTGCCCCTTTGCCCAGACCATACAGACGCGCTCGTGCAAAAATACTGTAGAGCAACCCCCGAGGTCGACAATGCTCGAGAATGTGTGCGCGTGCTCTATTCTTCAGCAAAAACAGAGTGCGTAAAAATAACTCCGCAAGTAGCAGAGTAGTTACGGGGCCTATGTTTATCTGTCATGACGATAGTGATAATACCTCCTGAACGCCTCCTTCATGCTGCTGGGCCATAGCCATCAGCATGCCGTCAAATCGCTCTTCGCTGGAGTCCGCCATGTTGAAATTATTAGATATTGAATTCGCTGAGCTCGAAAGTAACGGCTAGGGCTGAAATTGCACATGTTCAGCGAAGCCACTGACTAGCGTCTCTGCAATCACTTCCCTATGATTACGTGTTCTACAGCCGCAGCCAGTTGATTCGGACACGCAATCATACAAGTCCGTCGATAGAGGGCGATATAAATCAATTTTTTTTCACGCACGTACGCCCACTATACTACTACACATGTGGGACCCACACCGTTTCTTGAATCAACCATGCAATTTCAAAGCTCACAATTAAGAAGCCAGGAAACGTGTAGTCAGGAAACAGTCCAGGATATCCTGCTATGTCTTGCAAACCATGAATCTGTGTTAAAATGCCTACCGCATCATTTTTTTAATGAACGGCTCAACTAAGAAAGAAAAAAAATGCATCTCTGATCAGTTGTGAACCTTCAATCAAGTTCAACTTTATTTCAAATTTTTGCCCTGATAAATTGTTAAATATGTTCTTAAAATTTAATATAGGATATTGACACTAAAATAGTCTTGATATTGGGACTATCAGTTGTCCAAACTTAGACTGCATCCAAATCTGTTGTCTAGAGCTAGGTCTGGGTCTTCGCTCCATTGGAAATGTGTGGAGACGTGTAGACAATAGACCTAGCCGTAGCTCTGGAAGCCCATTTCGGACACGGCCTTAGATATATGTAAGTCAGAGAGAACAGATTAATAGTACATAAAGTAGATATGGAAATACGCATCAAACTTCTGAAATTGAAAAATGTTGCTTACAAAAAATTCAAAACCAAAAAGTGCACTTGTTACATAGCAAGCCACAAAATGACTTCAAATTGAAGGTGTGAGTTCAGGGAGTCCTATTTGACAGAAAAACATTGAGTGGATAACAAGAAAATGAAATCCTTGTTAATGGAGAATAGGGTATTTTCTTCAGTGTGTCCCTACACTTAAAAGTCACAGGAAGCCACAAACTCCAATAGATCTTTGTTACTGGTAGCCACACCCAGAACTTTGAAACACAGCTTCATGTTGAATGATGAGTTGTGAATTTTTTTTTAACTGTCTTTAACGACCAAATGTACTTGTACATATTTGAAATTTCTTTTCTTTTTTTGTGTCAAATCAGTCAATTCTCTATTCTCTATGGTTGAAGAAAAACCTCTGAAATATCTTGTCCCCAATCTTGGCAAATAATTGGCCATCCAATATCAGTGCTTTCTCAGTCTGTTGCATCTCTCTTGATTTTTCTTCTTTTATCTTGATTTTTGTTTCCTCTAGCTTGTCATATTCTTTGAGGACTTTCTCTATCTCTCTCTCTGGCCTGAAATGCACTATTTGTAGCTGGAGTGCTGGCACAAGCAAATTTCTGCGCTCAACCTTCTTGTTGAGAGATTTAATGCTTTCCATGAAGTCCTCCAACAGGCCTCGCCACTTGTTCTGGTTGAATTCGTTGAGGGGTTCAGGACCCAGTTTGAGTCTGGCCTTCAGGAGGTCATCCTTCAGGTCGCGGAGCTCCGACCGGATCTCCCGCTCGGCCTGAATCCATTCCGGAGTGTAACCATTGTTGACCAGCACTTGGTTCAGATTATGGTCACCGACATCCCAGTATGGGCACCAGCGGGTCTTGTCTGGGAGCGGTTTGCCCTTATTTGGGAGGTTTTCAAATTCTCCCTTGTTCATAGCGTCTTTGATGAGGTCCTCCACCAGCCTGTCCATTATGTTGCTCGTCTTGATCTGCTTGGCAGCCTTCTTGTCCAGGCTGACCAAGGCTGAGGTTTCCTCGTTTACTAACAGCCTCTCCATCCGGCGCTCCGAGACTGAATTCATGGCCCGCTGGACTCGGACCTTTTGGTAGTGTTTGTGTCTCTGGGAAGGGGTTCCCACCCCAATGCCTTCAAACTCCAAGTACTGACGGTGTTGGGGAGCAGTGTGCTCAATGTCAAAGTCTAGCTGGCTGTCCCTCATACTGCTGTCTCCTGTCAAGTGTGGGTGTCTTGCCTCAAGATCAGCTCGCACAGCTTGATATGCCTCTCGGACTTGGTTGAACTTTCGGACGTCTGCAGTTGGGGATTTACTATCTGGGTGATACTCCTTTGCAAGCCTGAGGAAGGCTTCCTTCACATCTGACAAACTACTACTCTCTGGATCAACATTCAAAACTTGGTAACAATCTTTCACATTTCGTCTTAATTTGTAGGCTGACAGGATAGACGCCGTATGAAGTTGGGCCCAGTTGCCTGCATATCCAAGGGCTGGAATTGGCTTCTTGTGTGAATTTACCATCACGGTAAACATTGTAAACATCTTTCCTGCTACTGCAGGAGAACCAGCGGACCTTCCTTGAACAGCTATATTAACACGGGTTGCAAGTAAACTCTTCATTTTGAGTTTTTGCAAGATAAGGCCGATTTAGCCTTTCCAACACTCGGCATTTAGGTGTATAGTAAAAATAAATTCACATTAATGTCCAGTTCATTTTTCAGAAGGGGGGTGCGTTATGTTGTTATTGTTTTCGCTCATGTGTAATTAATTCGAAAACTTTATGAAAGGAAATTTACTTCATTTTTTATCGTGGTAAAAATACTTTTTTGTAAATTTTAACGAGCGTCATTTAATTTCACAATTCTTAGAAAGCTTTAATTTCATTTTTTCCAACCACAGGGAACTCCTTCTCCCCTACAAAGTAATGAACTGTCTTCCTCATTGGCAATGGTATTCTGCAACAAACAAACCCGTAGAAAATGGCCTCCAACCGACGATGTTGACAACGGAATACAATGTAAACAACAGCCGCTTTAGCTCCAAATTAATTTTAAGGTAAATATAAACAACTCAGAAGATCTAGTATTATTCTTACAGATATTTTCCATATTATTTTCCGATTAACAGCATATGTGTTTTTGGAGAATAATGACTCACAAATGTGCCTAATTTCCGGACCCTTGTGACAAAGGGTGAGTCTGTGGCACAGTCACTGGGTAGCCCAGCGTGGACAGTGGAGCTGTCTTCATCAGGTAGGCCTGGGCCTAAAATGGGAGAAAAAAAACTGTTAAAAAAAATTCACATAGTAGGACTAGGAGGACTTTTATACACTGGACGTTAGTCGCAATGCAATATAGACGTCGTCCAACCTGGGCTAAGTCACTGGGGTGCTTAGGTACGCCAGCTGACACATGACTGAGTCTACTCCGTGTGACTTGAACTACATCATTGTTATGGTTTTATACAACGCCATGGGTTTTGGATGCAGCCCAGTTATGTCTAATCGGGTTTATGTGAAAAAAATCCTATTTCTCAGTCAAATCTTCCCCCACAAAAGCTGTTCCCTCAATCATAACTTAGGCCTGTAGGCTGTATGATAGTTTAAGCCTAAGTTTCGAGAGTAATTTTGAACTATAGTATAAAGGCATCATGGGAAGGAAAAGGGGGCAAACATTGCCCTTTTCCCTTCCCACAATGCCTTTCCAAAAATTTGCAAAATCAGCCATGCAGTTTTACTATTAGTATTAGCAATAAGGCTTGTGACCATTTTACCAGCACTGACATGACTTGTAACAGTATATTGTACATACATGATGTATTAATTGTCCAGTTGTGCACTCCATACTTATGCATAGTCAAGTGCATTACGGGAAAAGCCGTGCTATTGTTGGCAAGATGGCTTCTGTGAGCTGATCACACGTTTCTGAATAAACCTGATCATTTGTGTTTGTATTTGTCTATTATCCGCATTGTCACCCGTGTCCTGTCAATGCCATCCGAACCTGTTTGTAACGCATAAGCCCGTTACATACTGACCAGTTTAATAATTTCTTTGAGTTTTTTTTCTAAAAAGTCCTCTAGACTAGAGCCATGAATTAGAAAGAGAAAATGCAATAGAGTCAATTTAAAAATAACAGAAGAATATTCTTCATTTCTTGGACAAAAAAAAAGGTTGATAGCTTGGAATCGAACCCAGCTGGGGGCACTTCATGGTTGTTCCCAAGGTATTTGTACTATCCACTAGACTACAGACCCAGCTGGAAATCTGGTTGTGATTTATTTATAGGCTTACATGTATGCGCATCAAAGAGGGCACATTCTACTTACACATGGCTAAATATTGTTGAGGCCTACTTAAGTTCAGCCGACAATAGCTAAATATCCAATAAATATGATAAGATAAAAAGACAGGGGCCAGAAGTCTTTGCTTTCCCATCATAACTGTAACTGTTATTATTCTTTGCCTTTTAAGGTGGCAGTCTTTCCCTTGATGTAAGATGACAAGTCCATTAGCCAACCTAAGAAAACCAAGGAAAGCACCGCTACCTGGTGTTCCTCAGACTGGGTAAGATTTCCCAGAAGGATGAATTTAGAGATTGTTTGTGGAGGACTGTTTTAATGAGCCAGTTCAGTATTTCCTCTAAAAGGACAATGTCATTTGAGAATAAAGCATCTGATATCACACCAGCTGAAACATGCTCAGTGCATAGCAGTTTTCATTCATGTACAGATGCACTGAAGTGGCCCACCTCTTGCGTGTGTGTTGATGCTCTAATGACCTACGATATTCTTTATTTTGAGCTTGTTCTGTTGAAATACTTAACTGGGCCATTTTAGGTTAATTTATACAACATACAGATGTGAGAATTCAGCTTTTTAGCTGATTTCAGCCTTTTTTTGTTTAGATGTTGACCCTGAATTTCAGCCTCTTTTACACCTGGCCTGTACATAAGTATGAGAATTTTTTACATTTCAGCTTTTTGCTAATTATTTTCAACTTTAATTTTAAGTGGCCATTCACACCCCTGCCTTCCTAAGTCAGGAGTCAGGACTGAACAGTGTGCAGAGAAAAAGCTATCTTTGCTCAGTATTTGTTTATTGTAACGCATTCTGCTTGAATGACAGCAGTTGAGCATATAATTCTGAAGTGATGCAGTGTACAAGTTTCTTTCTTTCAAACAGGCAAAGGGCAGCCCCGTTCAGAAATCCCACTGATGTTTTTGGTAGGTATACACAGCTTCAATGAAAATTCAATGCCAGGCATTGATTTCATATTCTTACAAAACTCACATGTGCATTACTCAGCCAACTAACTTGTAACTTTGCTAGTAACCAAAGTGAAGGAGAGTAGGTTAGAAGAACGTGAGAAGGCGCAGTGTATAATGCACTCCCCAATCATGCCAATTTTGTCTGTAATGCATTTCAATGCCGCTGCCGCTCAAATATGGGTCTTGCAGCACACGAGCAAGCATGTCGAGCGTATTAACTCACATCTAAAGTAATCATCGATACCAATAGACTGCCAAAGAAGAAGAACTTTGCTAGTGCTGATTTGTATTATACTGAAAAACTCAGTACTCTCCGAGGAACAGCTGAGGAACTGTTATGCGAGAGAAATGACTTAGAGGGGTCACTGGTGTGCAAAGGGAAATGTTCATTTCACAGCCTAAAATGGTTCTGTCTTTCCAAATCCTGGCTGAAGCTCTGTGTGCCCATTCACCAGTACCACACCACTATCAATTCTCATTCCCCTCCCCAAATATCCATCTGCGCCATTGCACAGAATTTCTTTCATATATTGCAGATGATGACGAGTCACTACTGGATGATGTCCTGGGCCGATCAGTCTCTCGTCAGTCCAGTGTGTCCACCAGCCGGAGTGACACCATCGGGGGAAGGGCCATCAAACACCTGCCCAAACTCACCAAGGACACCAAAGCTGGTGGGTGTGTAAAACTATACACTTGCTTTCATTTGCTGTACATCACTGGAGTGTGCATCTGGATTCAGCTGGGAAGTTATCAGCTGACTGATTTGCTCATCTCTTTACTGTTTGGTTTGTCCAGAATCAAAGTCTCACGGGAGACAGGGCCAAAACTGTTTTGAGGAGTGGCCCCTCAAAAAGGAAATGTCTTTTTATATGTAATTTGTCATGGCCTCTCTAAGAGTTGAGGATAAATTTGGGGGGTAACAGCATGCTTGCACAATTGACATATGGAGCAGCCTAGTAGACCCAAATAAGAGCTTGTACAGTGGAGCAACGCTGAATTTACTGAATACTGTGCATGGGTAAGGATGTAATGAGTTGGACGGATAGGTTCTTAAGAAATAAATCATTGCAGAGTGACTCGGACTTCATGACATTGGTTGAAATTTGTTGCAGCTTCCTTGGACATTTCAGCGTACCTTTTTCAGAGACCCATTATCAGAACTGAAGTACTCAGCCACACTGAGGCTGAATTTCTAATATCTTGCACTTTTACAGAGCCCTCGATTTTTAACAAAATTTTTCAAGTCACTCAGCTGGCTTCTCTTCAGCATAACGGTGGCACACTGATGGGCTAAAGGATGGGACTTCTTACCAGCGTTTGATCCAAGGAACTTATTGACATACCACCTGTGCAATTTGAAACAATTTGAAAAAAGCTCAGTTTTTTTTGTACTTTTCGTTTGTGTTAGCTCCGTCTGACTATGAACTCATGACTGGTATGATGAGCCGCATTGCTAAGTTAGAACTGCAGATCCAGTTCTACGCCAAGGAGATTCTGGAGAAGGTAGGAGGAAGGGGATTTTGTCTAGACCATAAGTATCTCCATGCGTGGGAAATGCTAAGTTTTACCCAAAGAGATGACTGCAGTTTCTGAGTTTACAGTCTTAGGGGCATCATCATCCTCCCCAAGCCTTCAAAGTCCACCTGGGATGTTAGAAGTTTTTGTAGCATTAAGGCGGCCATCCACTTTAACTTTACGTGGGGACTGATGCAACTTGAGAATATAAATGCAAAGAATGAGGGACAGGTTTAGAAGGCTCGGGTTGCCTTATAACAAAAACACAGGAGGCAAATAAAATTAATTTCTAAATAAAATATAGTCAGTTTTGATAACTTTCCATTCAAGCTGACACCACTAGTATAGGGCTGGATGGCGGATAGATCAGTGAGGAGCAGAGGCTAACGTTTCTTTTCTCAACTGAAAATCAAACTTGAATCATTCCTTTAAAAAGCAGGCTGATTTTAAGTGTACCACAGGATTTTTAAGGTTTTATCTTTTGAAAGCTCTCACCTCGGTGTTGCTCTTATTCGTCACAGAACATCAGCTTTGTGCTCTGAAGGCACCACATTTTCAGTTAGCCTCTTTGACAAACTGCTGTGGATATTAATAGAACATCCTTCGAAAACAAAAATCACCCGTTCTTTGGTAAAGACTTGCCAATCTCTACTATTCTTGTGAACACACTTGACAAACAAATTAAAGTCATGATTTTCTCTTTTGCAGGATAAGAAAATCAGCATTTTAGAAGAGAAGACAAAACTTTTGCAGAAATACAAAGGTATGTTTTATCAAGATATCGCATCTTGCTGGTTGTTGCTACACTGTTTAGAACTGGTTTTTCTTTATGTCCTTAATTAGCATCTGTGCACTTCTTTTAGTCACTGTAATACCCAGGTCTTGGTTTTCGCAGCCAGGCATTGAGATGTGAAATAAACTAGCTGTTTTCCCCTAGTCTTGGACCTGTGGATGCCATTTTGCAAAGATAAGCTGTGTCCGAATGACTTGGCTTCGGCTTGGAATTGTACATGAGTCTATGGCAACGGTTGCAGCCACATTCAATGTAGTTGTGTGTAATTTCAAACCGCAGCGAAGTAAATTCAGACATGGCCATACACTTACTCGTCATCATTAGCACCCCTTCCTACCCTGTGTAGTGTCCTGACCCTATACCTCATTGAAAGCAGTGTGTTTCTGATACGCAGGAGATGCAGATCCAGACTCGACCAGAGTGCGAGATCTGGAGAGGAAATGTCAGGAACTGCAGCAAACCATCAAAGACATGGAAGTAAGCAATACTGCATCAAAGTGGGAAGAGAGATGTCACTCATGGTCACTTTTTTAGAAAGGATTTGTTATTTGTACAAATTTGTTCCATTGACAAATGCTTGATATTTGTCCAATCAAAAGCAGATGAGGGCAAACAAAGTTTCTGAATGAAATATCAAGCTGAAAGTCTCATATGATAAATCCAATTGGCACTTTTACCCTGGTTTTTGTGCATGTAGCATCTGACCTTGGTATTATGGCCGAGCACAGCCAACAATGGCAAAAAAAATTGGCCTTGCTAGTACACTTTTCCGGCCACTTTTTTGGACTAAAATTCATGCATTGTATTAGTGTTTGCAATTCTGGTTTCATTTAGGATTTTTTGTCTGACTATGGAATGATCTGGGTGGGCAATGCTGATGCTGACACGGTAGAGAGCACAGAGGGCAGAGTCTATGATGAGTTGGCTGAACCGGGGCACACGTCGCGACTTGGCGGCGTCTGGAGACCAGGTACAAAAGAATTGCCACTTTCTAAGGTCCAGCAGACCGTGGAAACATTTGGGAAAAAAAAAAAAAGTATTGAGGCCATTTTTAGGCTGCATTCAAATGTTATGGCTGGGGCTTCAAATAAAGTATGTACCAGTGAAAGCCAATGGCTACCCACTTCATCTACTTCCCATAGACGTATGCGTGTCTGATAGCTGTAGCCAGGGAAATCAGAGGCTGCACAACTTTCCCCTACTTTAAGAGTTTCTGACATGGAAAATGTGATATAGCTGGTAGAGTTCTAGACCCTGCTTTAAGGGACGAGCTTTAATAGAAAGGGGTTCAACCACATTCACGGAATAACAACAAAGAAACGAAGGGGAACAGATTTTGAAACTTTGGAAAGTTGTATCCAACATGATGTGAAGGTTGTGCATGGTTGATGTTGCAACAAGACAAAGGTTTGGAAGTAGAACCATGTTATACATTTTGTGAGAAAGTGAGGTTCTAAAAAAGTGTTGGACACAATGTTAGGACAGTGTGGTTTCTCCAACATTCTTCTGGTGAAAGATAGACCATGATGACCAAATTGTTGAGTTCACTGGTTATTTCCAAAGCCCACTCACTCAAAATGGTGTCCGTTTTACCTTTCTCCTTTCATTTCTGTAAATATAAGATGCAGTGGAAAGTTTTTTTCTTTCATTCCACATCCTAGGGGCATCAGTTGTACAGTCTGAGGGCCCCTTTCACGTTGATTTTGATCGCATCATCAAGAACATCAAAGAACTCAACATCGTCGCTGGCGACGGAGAGAAGCGCATCCGGCACACGGTCAGTGGGGCTCGGTTTGTGGCCCCAGACACGGTACCCCTCACCCTCTACGCCAACGGGATATTCATGTTCAACGGCCCCTTCAGGTCTTATGAAGAGCCAACCACGCAAGTAAGTACTGATCCCTACTGTGTAGAGGATGGAGTGAGCCCATGGGCTTGGGTTTGGCTTTCTTTAATAATGGAAAGTGTTTCTGGCAACATAAACTTGAGTGGAACTGAAGGCCAAAGCTTCTTGAAAATACAATGAATTAATTAAACATTCAACCAGAAACTGTCAAGTGAAGCTGTCTGGGTCTAACAGCAAACCGTCGTATGTTTCTACAACAGTGTGTCCATTTTCAATATTCATCCTTTGATGTTTAGTCCCCAGACTACCTGAGACCCTTTCTTATTTGGCTGTACACTGGAAATGACCAAGAGATGCCAACAGATTTCTGCATCCTCTATATTCACAAGCAGGTGTCATTTCCCAGCAGTGCCTAGGTCATTTTGACATGGCCTCAAGCCACCTCATCTGGAATCACTGAACAGTGAGCTGTTTCTCATACAACCACTGAGTATGGCCAATGTAATTCAAACATTTAAATATTCTATCCTTGGGCACTGTACTGTGAATGCAGCTTTTCCAAAGGCAAGCCAGGAACCAGTTGTATGTTAATCCAAGTTTGAACACACGCATGCAAGTGTAAAAATATCTGAACTTTGGAGAATGCATGCAGCATTTTATTTGATTGATGAACCAAATTATTTCTGGTCTGTGTTTTTTAGCGCTGTATACAGGATCTTATGGATGGCTACTTTCCCTATGAGTTGAATGCTAGGTTCCCAGAAGGAGTTCCATTCCAAGTAAGCATTTTCAGCCAAGTCTAAATCTTGCATCTAGAGCTAGGCCTAGGTCTTTGCTAGTTGGAAATGAACTTGCCCAGATGTAGCCATAGCTCTGGAAGCCCATTTCAGAAATGGCCCATCTAAAGTTGCTAGAAGCTGTCATACCTTGCAATGACATTCAAGCACACAGGGCCCTCTGCAAATGACTTTGCAAGTTTCACAGTCAGCTGGGGAGGCTGGACAGCTTTTATACATATTAATAATGTCGTACTGAGCATGAACAGTAACAAGTGCTCCAGAAAGTCACTAAAGGTGCATTATTAGGGGATTTCTTATTCTTATTGCGAAGTTTGGGTTGAAGTGAATTTATATGATTTTTTTCTCTTGTGGCAAGCAGTGATTTCTTCTCATTTGGCTTATAGAATGTATTAGTTTTTCAGTGGAAACAGCAATGATTTTGGCAAAACTCATCTTTTTCTGAGCTTCAAGCATGTACAATTAAATGTCTTTAGATGTTTAGAACAGGCTCAACCTAAAAAAGATCCCATGTACAAAGCTATTGTGAGAATCCCATCATGCCTTTGCACAGGATGTAGAGCGTGTCTCTTGTCACAATCTCTGGTTTGAATTCCAAAGGTAACAGACAAACGGGACACAGTCTACAACGACCCACGAAGCATCAAGCACTTCCCTGGCACCGGTAACCTCCTGGGTGGAGAAAGCAAACCCTCCCGGCTGGTACCTAGCAACCTGGACAAGGGGACCAGTATGGAGAGATCATACACAACAAGCCACGATGGTAAACCAGTGTATGAGACCAGCCAACCACCAAGTAAGTGGCCAAAGGGACCAATGTGTCTTTCACCCAGACAAAGGCGTACATTTGTCTACATACAGTGAACATTCTCACCCAAAGATGAACATGGCTTACGTAAAGTAATGTCTTGTGAACCTTGCCCATTGTAGAGCCAGTGATTTTCCACGATCGCAGAAAACGGACAGAACTCATGGAATCAACACTTTGAAATGAAATCCACTGCTTAAAATGGAACTTGCAAAATTTCCCACTAAGAATGGCTTAAAAAGTGAAGAAATCTTTCCACAAAGTGCTATAATTAAATGCCTACCTAACCCTTTTAAAATGCTTGCTTTTAATGAATGAATTATGCTGGAAACATGCTAAATTGTACCACTCCACCACATGATTGGGTCGTTCGCCCCAGTACTGATAATTGCAAGCACTTATGGCGTGCGTGAGCCCCAAGCGTGAAGCGGCACAGTAAGGTCGGCCTACACATGTCAGCCGTCCACACGTGCACTGTACTAGCAATGAAATCAAGGCACGAATTCACACACATGCTTATTACACCCGTGGTTAATTCGGGCTGCGATTCTGCATAGACGCCTTGAGATAAGGCTAGTAGGGCATGGTGAAACGATGAGACCGCAGCAGCAAAACAGAAGATTAATTACATCTTTCTTGAATGAAATGAAACCTAGTAAGCTTGTTTTACCATAGCTGAATGGGCCTCCGGAAGTGTTCAATGAAGAACAAAGTTTTAGTCGCAAACATACATTTTAAGGCTTAGATTTAAAGTTAACTATCTGAATTTTGTCGCACCACTGCCAAATAAAATGGCAGGTCAATGTTGTCCAACATTAACGTATTGCGATCAACGATTGCGGCATACAAAACAACTCTATGACTTCACTGTACATGTACATGTATTTAAATGTAATCTGATTTTATACACAAGTAGTGACAAATGAATTGTCCATTGATTAATCGTGCAAGTTTTTGACGATCATGCTGGTGGGAAATCAAGGGGGGATGCCATATTTATTTTGTGGTTTTTTAAAAGTTATTATTTAGGATTATTTTAAAAAGTTGGAAACATTGCAAAGTATTTCCAAACAATGTTTCTTTTCATTTTTTTGGGGGGGGAAGGGATATGGTTGGGCAAATGGTTTTCATACAGTTTAAAACTTGCCCTACTATTTCATGCCTACGAAGTAACGAAACGGAATTTGAATTTCTGAAGCAGAATTCGGCATTTGCCGAAATGGAAAATACCCATTTTTGGGAAGGACAATCATTGGCTGTACCATTGTTATCGTAACAAATGTAAAGGAAGCTGCAGTCAAATGTTGTGGCTGTGGCTAAATATAACATGCGTTTATATTTATGGAACTCCCTAAGTAGAAGCTGCGGTCACTTCCCACAGGTGTATGTGTTTACTCTGAGTCACACCCATTTAAAATCACACATAGCCTTATTTTCACCTTGGAAGTTTTCCAGTGTTTTTCCTACTTACCTTGCAATATGTAATTTGGGGAAAATTTAAATTTGAAATTAGGCTCCCTGTTCCAAAAAAGTTTTTGCAGTGAGGAACATGAAATCGTGACACTGAGGGTGCAAGCATTGAACACCCGTACCACACACATGTTGAAACATAGACATTGTGTGGACCAAAAACATTTCGTCCTCACAACTTGGTCTTGATTTTCCTAATGAAAAAGATTGTCTTCTAAACATGATGATGGCCTAGGCAGAGGTTTCGTACATTTGTGTTTTGATGAAAACTCATATTTTGTGTTTCGTTCTAATTTCTTGAAAGAGCCTCAACTTTCAGTGGACCAGTTTCTGAACAAGCTGCCATCTTCCATAATCAAGGAGGGCAAGGTCATTGACGTCAGAGCCTCGCTGGCTGGAGACTTGCAGGTGGGTGTAGCAAATTGGGCCCAAGATGAGGTGGAAAGGAAATTAGCATGTTGTAATATGTTTTCCTCAAGCAACAGCCATGGTCTCACTTTGTACTTAATCCATTAGTCGGTGTACCACCCACATTCGCCTAGCCTATTACTATGTGGATGGCACAAAGCACTCAGTGGTTTTCCTGATTAACCAGTGCGTGAAACTGTGTAATGCTGTGGATATTGCAGGTGCCCACAAACACTTGTAAAAAGACCTCTACTTAGTTGACACAAAGCATGGTAAGGAGGGCCAGTAAGTTACCGTCAGGTTGGCAGTGTTTCCTTGATGGTGTGACATTTTCACCATGCCTTGAGCACTTCACAACCAGGGCCCAATTTTACGGCACTGCTTAGCACATGATTTCACACTATGAGGCTCCACGTACTTCATGGAGACCGTAAGCAGGAAGCACAGCCAAAGGCATGCTAATCTTGGAGGAAAAATTTGCTTGACTTCATGACGTACATGTAACTGTATCTCTGTGTGCACGCAACCGTTAGCACAAGCACCACCATGAAATAGTGCTTAAGGTTAGCACATTTTTCTGCTAAAGTTAGCACGATTTTTCTGCAAATTGGTAAGCAGTTCCATGAAATTGGGCCCAGTTCTTCATGTGTATCCGCTTGGTTTGTCAATGCACAGCATGATAACACGAAGCCTGGCGTCACAGTCATAGACACCCCCGCTGTCCAAGAAATCCTGGAACGCGTCAGCAGCAGCCGGCCCCAGTCTGCGTCATCCTCTCGACCCCTGTCAGCCCGTAGCAGCATCACCACACTCCGAGTCAAGACGGAAACAGGGGAGCACACCTTCATCCTGAAGCTGCGGTATACAGACACGATAGGGGATGTTCGCCAGTATCTGGATGCTAAAAGGTGATGGAATGATACAGGGTTTTTTTGGGGGGGGAGGAGTCAAGTGTTTGTAGTAAACTTCCCTGCTGCCGCAATCAGGTCTTAAATCTTATGTGAGTTGTGGGAATTTTGAATCTTGGTTTTTACTATAACCTGCCGAGTTCCTCGTCAGTCTTGGAATGTACCTGTGTCAATGTGATAGATCCTCAGTAAGTTTGATGAAAGTGTTATTTTGTAAAACTAAAAGGGTCCCCAAGGTTATGGAAAAATCTTTGAAAACAAGTTGTCCTGGAAAGTCATGGAAAACTGGGGGCAGGTAGGGTGTCCAGGAATATTTTTTAGAGGGAAAAAATGGTGATGGAAAAGTTGTGGAAATGAGGATCATTGAGGGCTGATTTTGATGTGATGACAGAATGATGATATAATTGTAGGCTATCCTTATCAGTCTGTAGCATGGGTGGCTAGGACATTCATCTAGCTCATGAAATCAAAAGGTTTTCATCGCAAGATGGAAATAAATGTCATGGAAATTGTCATATATTAGTCCTGGAAAGTACTGGGAAAGACATGGAATGTGGTTGTAGATTTCAGCAGGAAACCCAAGGAACATTAAAAGACTTCGACTGTCCTACTCAAGTTGGCGTGTGCAGAGTGTGGCAAGTCTTTTAGGTTTGGAAAACGGTAGGTCCCAGGTCACCATTTTTATCGTCTTGGGTCATATTCTGTGATCATATTCTAAGCCTTGAAACCCAGTACATGTAGTCTAGTTTTCTTTCTGTTTTTCTCTGACTATTATCCTTTCAGACTGTTTCCTTGTCAAGATTTCTTTAAAGCATTATTTCTCAATCCTACCACTAGGACATTGGGGTCCAAGGACTATGAGATAGTGACGACCTTCCCGGCCAAGGTCTACAACGACCAAGATGCAACCCTGCAAGAGTGTGGCTTGACACCCAATGCCGCACTGCACCTAAGGGCCAAGAAGAAGTAAAGTCATCTCCAAATATTCTTACTAATGCTGGGAATAACACATTCACCTATTTATGCCACATGCTAGCCGCTGCTGCCACTTTCCACAGGTGCTTGGGTTTTATTTTCCAGTTGCCCTCAGCTGATTCAGGCAAAAAAACTTGAACGGGGATGGCATGCCATGATTTGTCCTTGGGCAGGACACTTTGCCACAATTGCTTCTATTTCCACCCAGAAATAAATGGGTACCGGTTGGAGGAGGTCTATGTAATGCATTTGAATGAGCCATTTTGCACAGAGATGGCAATGTGAAGCGTTATGATCCTTGGTGGAGCAGAAATAGTCAGGACAATGCATTACCGGCATGGCGAGCAGTTATAAGAATGGTACAGTGGTGGATTGTGCACTTTTTGTAGTGATAACTAACTCTGTTTTGGGACCATTGCAAGCAGCATGAGTTCACATACTGAAATCTGTTCAGGTAGCACCTCAAAAAGGCTGGAGAAAACCACAAAGAATACCCCCTTTTTCTCGGTTTGGAGCATATATAGTACATCATGTCCCTGTTTATTCTGAAGATACCTCCATGTGGGACTACTGAGTTTTGTTTGGGTATGCTGATGAATAGAAAATTACAACAAAAACACAACCTATTTGAGCTTTGGAATATTGCTTGGTTCGGTCTAGAGCGTGCTATGCCTGGGTGCTTTCCTGAGAGAAGAAAATGATCCAGTATTTGAAGTGCTTCCTGGAATTACTAAGGGTATTTGATTTAAATGGTCTAGAGCCAATACTCATCTGCTTAGGGATACCAGGATAGTGCCGTCAACCATGCACATTCATCATTAGTCTGACCACAAAGGTCTTGCCTCTTTATTAAGTGTCCTGTCTTCTGTGCCAACTTTTTCTTCCTTCTCCTGTGATGCAAGACGCCTATTTCTCTTTATGTTGGTGTACATATCAAGACTGTAACAGCAAAAGCAATTCTAATTCTGATTCCATGTTTTTGCTATCTCTGATGTTCCGTCCTTATCTTGCACTTGCAAAGGCCCATGTGCCTGCTTTTTTAACTGTCTTGATTCTATTCAACAGATGTGTTTTATTTTAAAATCTTTCATATAATTATGTCCAGTGAAGTGATGGTGTTTTACATATAGTGACTTTTGTGAAGGACCAAATTCAAAAGTATCTCATATGGTATAAATATAATATATGGGTAATTCCATAAATTAGTGGTCCATCTTTTTCTGTGTCCCTGTTACATCTGACATATGATTTTGTAAGTTCAGAATACATTTTCTTTTTTCAAAAAGTGATGAATTAATGCAAATTACCTGCCAAACAAATGGTAATACTTTGAAACCAATTCCAGCGATATTTCCAAGTCAAATAACAAAGGTCAAATGTAATAGGGACACAAAAATGTCACACTTTTGGACCCCTAATTTCTGAAATTACTCATATACCATTCTACATGTGTGTGCATAACAATACAAAGAAATATGAAAAGGGGTATAGCAGTGAGTCAAAACTTGTCTTGTAATAATTCATTAGTGCAAGAGACCTGTTCTCAAGGAACTCGGTCAGGAGTTTTTCAAATGTTTCACGCAGGAACAGTCCATATACTCGAAAATATTCTGTCCGTGTCTTTAATGTTTTTACTCTCTTTTCAGATGCATTCCAAGACTAGCTTTATTCTACACTTTACTGCAAAGTGCCTTGTTAGTCGACCGTCCACACATTTTACTATTTATTGAAGCAATAATGAAATGCATTTGCTACATTTTATTTGCTACAAAATCGTAACTTTGTGATAGAGTTTGAAGTCATATGATCTAAAATAAAACATAAACCTTGAAAAGAACATTTGCACTTGCTTCAAGTAAGATTTTGTCTTGTCAGTTGTCACTCTGTCCCTTTGATAAATTTGGTAGAGAGAGTTGCAGCACCTGTTCTAATGATACAAAGGTAACCTCACATTAGAAACATCTAAATTGTTGCCAAACTTAGAGAAGCTTTATTTACAGAAGAATCCAGTTCACGTTTAGGAAAATAAAACTTCTAATTGGGTCAATTTAATATTTTTTTCCAAAACTGGTTAAACATGGATTTGCTACTACATTTTAAGAAAAGCATTTTAATATACAACCACATACATTCATGTTTTATCAATGCTAATGAAATATTTGAATTTGCATGAAATTGCAAACAATGAATCGTTGGGACCAATTAAAAAAAACTTAAGGCATAAACCTTTGCGAAATTCTCTTCTGCTCAAAATGGATTGTAGCAAGATTATGGAAAAAGTGAAATTTTGGCCCAAATTTTAATTAAATTGCAAGGCGTTAGCCTTACAGTTTTATTAGTTTGGGTCAGAAATTGATAAATTTTCAATTTGTTTGAAATTGCACATAATATTCCTGTAAGTCCACTGAAAAAATATAACGGTATAAACCCGCCTAAAATACACCCTTTCTGCTCTAAATAATTGTGAAAAGATTTTGAGGAAAGTCAAATTAAAAAAAAATTAAACTGCAAGGTTAACCCCTTACAATTTTAATTTTGGGGCTGAAAATTGTTAAACTTCGAATTTGAATGAAATTGCGAACAATAAAAAAATGAGTCAAATGAAGGATAATTCAGGTCCATAAAAGCTCAAAATTACTCTTACTACTAAAAAAAGATTGTGGAAATATATGGAGAAAAGTTACTTTTTTAACCAAGTTAAATTGAAGTGTATAGCTAACCACTTCCAGTTAAATTTTGGCTCAACAGAAGCCTTACAAAAAATGTTTGGATCCATTCAGAGAATAAAAATTAAGGTATAGAATCACTCTTTTTCCACTTGAAATGCAGTGAGGTTAGATTTGGAGAAGTCACATTTTTGCCAAAGTTTAATTAAATTGCAAGGCAGTTTTATTTATTTTGAGCTGAAAATTGATAAAATTTGAATTTGCCTTAGTTTAATAAGTCTAACACTTAGTCTAATGAAGAAAAGTTACAGTATGAAACTGCTCCAAATACTCTTTTTCTGCTCAAATTAGAATGTGGAAGCATAGGAGAAAAGTCCAATTTTGGCAAATTTTAAATTTGCAAACCTAACCAACCCCTTCCAATTTTATTTAAATTCGGGCTGAAAATGGTTTGAATTATTGTACAATTTGAATTATTTGAAAATGCAAAAAATATGTCCATGAGTTTAACAAACGTCTTAAATTAACAAAATTTTTCTTTTCTGCTCAAACTGCCTTGTCGGCAGATATTGATAAAGTCACAATTTGGCCAAGCTTCAATTGAACTGCAAGTCTAACCCCGAAGTTTTTATTTCTGCACTAAAAATGATGAAATTTGATTTTGCCTGACATCGTGAACAGTTGTGCTGAGTCCAATGAAGAAAAATTTAGGTCTTATCCACTCAAAAAAAACTCTATTTCTGCTTTAATTGGATTATGGGAAGATTTGGAGAATTTAATTACATAACAGGTTAATTAAATTACAGAACAAAAAATCCCTGTAACTGGCTGGCAACCACTGTTGGTGATTTAAATAAATAAAAATGAACAAATAAATAACACCTTCCACATAATCTTACTAATTAACTGTTACTATTGTGAAAACTCTAAGGGTCAAATTTTCTCCTAGTAATGCAGATTCTAATGCCCATGCAATACACCATTCACAATGTAGAGCACCTAATTTTGAAACAAAATTAATTACTCATTATGTTGGGAGAATAAAAAACTAAATTTGGTTAAATTGTCTTTGCTTCAGACACCCCAGATAAGCTTTCATGAGACATGTCCGACACACTAAAAAGTCCAAAACCTTTTTCGTATGTCTTTATGACCAAAAATAAAACAAAAATTTATTTAGCAACAAACAACTCAGAAAATTAGTTTGCACCCTCAAGTGCAAACAACTTTGTTGAAGGTCACAGCGCGGTCACCGAGGTAAATCTCTGATATCAAAATCTGGAAAGTGGCAACAACCATGTGCTCGGGAGTATATACAATGTATTACATTACCGGAATTGGGGCTGTGGAGCAGTGCTCAATTTACTTTGATTGCCACTGTTTTCATTTTCGGCTCAATTTACTTTGATTGCAACTGTTTTCATTTTCGGCCTAGCTTCGTTTGAGTCAGTCGATGGCCCTCCTCCCTCCCCGGTGCAGCCACCTTTGCAGTTGGCTTAGGATTGAGGCAGAGGGGACATTAGGGATGGAGAGCAATTGTCAGGTTGCGTTATTCAGCAACTTGGATGGCCCTGCCCCTGGGAGGAAGGGTGGAATTGCACAAACGGACGTCTGAATCCCCAGTGCCAGTAGCTAGGTCTTGGTTCTCACCAGTACTTGTCACATGGCTACATGCCGACAACAGACATACTCCTAGCCTAGAAGCCCAATTTGGACAAGTTCTTTCCCAATAATTACACTCACCTTGGGAAAGTGCCAGCAAGGGGGCCAGGATGTGTTTCAGATCTCTCCAGATTCTTCTAGCCTGTGCCTTTTTGCCTCTGTGTTGCATGCCAAGCCTTCCAAATCAAATCCTGTTGATACAGTATAAGCAGACACAACATTACCCATTCTGGCATCTGCCATTTTCTGTTCACTCTTGGTAAGTGGTCGGACCAAATGTTTGAAGGAAATGTAACAGTGAAACTTCCAGAAGCAAAAACTCTTTTTGGTGTTTTATTCTGGTTTTTGTGCTTATTACCAGTAAACCATGAGAGTATGTTCTCGCGTCACTTGTCCTATCAAAGCTAATAATGACAGAATAAAAGTTTGCTAGAACATTTGTCTTACCACTTTTTTGGCCTAACTCCACACTTTATGACAATTAGTTTGTTACAATAACCAGTTTCATTCAAAATTTTTCATTAAATTCCATTTCATTTTCATTTCCAGGAATCCTTTGATATATCAAAAGTTGCAGACCAGAGAAGAAACTGTCACCGATATCAATGATAAATTACCTCACTTTCAAAAATCTGGAAAAAATGGCTCAGTCACATTTAGTAATTAATTCATTTTTGTCGCTTTTTTCAGGTTAAATAAGATAAGTGGCCTACTTTGAAAATTTTATCATAAGATCAGCCCTGAAATAGTCAAAAAGCCCATTGCCATTTTGAACCTATGTTGGGTATGAGCGGTTGATCAGCAATGATCAGATGACTGCATTAATTGCACAGTCTATCTATTATGAAATCCCTGACTTCCCTTTTTTGAAACAATCATCCACAACTGCGAATTAGGAAGAAAAAGCAACTGGCTGGTGGGAGAATAATTACCAATTTGTGCAATAAGATCAACAGACACTGCTGAGATCAAGCGATATTGCAGTACTTATCACACCTAACACCACATATTGTAACAAAGAGAGAAGGTGCAAGGCCGTTTTCCAATACTAAACTTCGGCTCTATCTCAGGCTTCAACTGTTTTTTAACTAGCGGACAGTCGAAGCTGTAAGAGCAGTAATTAGTTCAATAGTGCCACAAAACATCAAATAAGAACTAAGAGCGCCAGAAATTACAGTAATCCAATTTAATTTAAACGCTTCAAGCCCACAATCGGGGATCGGTTTTGGGAACGAAACCTGAGACGGAGCCCAAGTCGAGGATTGGAAAAGGGCCTATGGCTCTGTTTTGTCCAAATTTTCCAGAATTTGGAAGCTCCCTCGCCCAACCTGTAACCCTTCCTTCACCCAACTGAAAGGTCCACTTTTGAGGCAAGAAAAGATTTTAAGCTACAGTAGAAGAAAAAATGTTGAGCACTTCGGTATTTTTTTGCCTCGGTCAATTCCTTCTTTGGGAGTTTACTTGTAACCCCCCTAAAACAATTGGTACGACCTGCTGTTTTCTAAAATGAAAAAGCAAAATATCTATGCTTTGTTGAGGATTTGCACCCCCCACAAAAAGTCCTACAGCTGTAGTTACAGGCCTCTCTCTCACCTTATTTTTTGGACTACAATGTAGTCCTACATTAATTTATTTTTGGCTGGTGCGGGCATTTCTACTGGCCTGCAACCAAACAGTTGCAAAACATCATCGGGTTCAGTGCTTTACTTCAGTCCTTCAAGTATTTGATGCGTAAAATGGTATCAGACCTCGTAACCCAGCTAGCTACATTGTACAAGTTGATACCAGCTTGAAATTTAATACATGACAGGATAATTGTTGAAACTTTTTTTTTGAAGGGGGATATTTGCAATCCACTGATCTGACCCAAGGATTGAATCGCGATCATCATTGCACCTCTCTGACTGGCTGCCTCACTGAGTACTCTGTACTGAACTCATCCACTCTGAAGGGAGGGGGTTGAGCATTTATATGTACTCGTAGTAGAATCCCCTCATACCTTGCACTTCGACGCTTCCATGAACTTTCCTCATGCAGTGTTGCCCAACCACTTTGATGAAAAACTTCAAATTCACTCAGTTAAATACTGGAACTCTTAATTACCTTTATAATATGTACTGTTGAACAATGTCAGTGTCATAAAATTCACTCTGAAATTTAAAAATTGTAGTGTCCCTAATGCCGCACAATTAAACAAATCTCTGAAACTTCCACATCATGTGGTTGTTTAAATTACATAAATTGTCAAAAATCATTTTAACATCCATTCACATACCCAATAAAAGTTTGTTAGATAATATTCTTATTTTTGGAAACTTCAGGCCAAAAGAAAAACTGCTTGGAAATTTGTAGTAGGTACTTAAACTCAAGAGTTATGAACGGAATTATTGAGAGCTTGATCAAATTTCACTTACTATGAAATTTGAGGTAAAAATATTGCTCCAGTAAGGCACTGGAATAAAAAAATCCAAGTTTGCTACATTAGAGACTGTGCCACATTAGGGTACATCTACAAAGTAGTTCAATGCAGTTTTAAATTTTGTGTGTGTGACCGGATGAGACAAAATAATATACACTTCAATAACATGTGAATGTGCATTATGTTCAACACCACAAATAAGAAACAATTTTACATTTTTCAGCAAAGTTCTTCCCAAGATAACATCTGTATTTTTTCAGTAACGAAGAAACCCATGTTGCATCCTGACTCTACTTCTGCGGTTCCATACAAAGTCTACCGGGAGTCAAAAAGATTTCTTTAACATTTCCTTACAACATTGGAATGTTTCTTAGAAAAAAAGGAAGTGGTGGAAGGATAAAACATTCTTTCCAAAAGGAATACTTCCCAAGGCTGAAAAGATAATTCTGGACCGGGGACACTCGGTTTTGGCTTGGACTCAGTTCCACCACTTTAGTTTAGTGCCTACAGCTGTATTATGACCAGCCTACGGTCAGTAACACCGGTACCGCGACTTGCAGACCCTCCGGTGTTAGTGGTCAGTAGGCCGCGCTTAGGCATAGCTGGGTTTTAACTGGGCTAACATTGTGTGCGTATTAAAAATGTAGAGGGGTCCCAATAATAAGGCCAGTTCAAAAACGTAAGGGCTGCCTAGTCCTTACAATAGGCTTCTTACCTGAGGCAAAAAGTAATAGTATTTTCACTTTACGGTGGGAGGGTGACGACTACAGCCATACCCATGCGTGTTTCACGTGTTAACTGGTTACACCACGTGTTGTGCATTGAAATCGAACGGGGGCGCACTACCCATTGACAATATCCCACAATCTGTTGCAGCGAGGGGTGTTATTACTAATTTGATTTTTTTTTCAGCTTATGGGGACCGGGGGCTAAATAAATTATGTCTCTTTACTAACTATCACAAAAGAAACA